CGCAGAGAGCAAGTCTCTGGGCATTTGGTTATCCTCTCGGATTCGCACTCGGCAATCGGGAACGGCTCCCTCTGTTCGTCCCTCGATCTTCGTGACAGTACCCTTGACGGTCTGGACAGCACGCTGGGGCTGCCTCGAACCAGAAGGGGGCGGCTTCACAGTACAGACAACCGCACGATGTGTTCGAAGTTCCATGAGCGTTTGTTCGTTGTGCGGTCTTTCATGCTGCTTCTTACATTCCCTCTGTACTTCTCTCCGTTGACTCTGCGTAATCATCACAGTGTCAAGCTCAACGCTGTGGATACGGTGTGCTACATGGCGCTGCCCGTGGCGGTGTTCACGTCCATCCTCGGCGCCGTACTGTCCAAGCCCGCGCTGGCCTCAGTCAGGGCTGCTGCTGCATTTAGATCGCTGAAGGCGGTGCTTCCCAGACCTCCGACGACGTGATTGGTTCGATACGCCTGCCCCCCCGAGCTCTCGGCCCCTTCCTGGGGGCACAGACTCGCTTCGCGCTGTGCCAGACTCGCTTCGCCCTGACTCGCCTCGCCCTGACTCGCTTCGCCCTGACTCGCTTCGCCCAGACTCGCTTCGCCCAGACTCGCTTCGCCCGGCTCGCTTCTCTTCGCCCGACTCGCTTCGCCCCGGCGGGTCGGGTCGGGCGGGCGGACCCCAACGAGCGGGTCGGGTCCAGCGGGCGGGTCATTCAAACAGGATGCATCATCGAGTCGGCTCGCGTGTAGGGCGGGCGGGTCGCGCCGGGCGGGTCGCGCCGGGCGAGCGAAGCCTGACAGGCAGGTCGGGATGCGCTTTCCCGGGGAGTGCTGCTTCTTTCCCCAGGATCTGCGTTTCTTGTCCTTGGCCCCGATGCTGTCCCCGATGGAGGTTGAAATGGTGAAAAACACCAGCATGGTTTGAAGACGCTGGGAGTTTGGGCTTCATCCGCTCACAGGAGAGCCCCAAAGCTTTGTACTTGTTCGGCGTTCACACATTTTCCCACAAATGTTGTGCAGGTGTGCCTTCTTGATTCCTCTCGCTTCGCGGGGGTGCACGTCCGGACCACGTACAGTCCAGTTGTTGCGGGGCCTCTTGGGAGCTTCTTTGTGGCCTCTTGGAGGTGTCTTGGGTGGAGGCTTCCTGGGGCCTCTTGGGGGTGTCTTGGGCCGTCTTGGGGTGCTCTTGTGGCGTGTGGCCCATTTGGAGGCCGTCCTGGGGGTTCCTCGCGGCCGTTTTGGGGCTTTGTTGGGGTCCAGTTGAGTTGGGCCGTCTGAGGGCCCGCTTGGGCCGTCGTGGAGGCCTTTTGAGGGCTTCTTAATGGCCGTCTTGGGGCCATTTTGGAGGCTGCTTGGGCCGTCATGGGTTTCTGAGAGGCGAAAAATGAGAGAACGCTAAATTCCTTCAAAACCCATGTAATATCGATGGTGTTGGCCTCCGGGGGCGCTCTTGGGGGTCTTCTTGAGGCCGTCTTGGGCCGTCTTGAGCGCTTCTTGGGTCCTCTTGAGGCCATCTTGAGCCGTCGTCACGGCCTCTGAGACAGAGGCCCAGGAGGCCCAACTCACTGATTTTCAATATTTCTACCGTATATGTATCCAGCAGAGGTCCGCCACCCCTGGGTCGGTGGATGTGGGGTGGCTTCGGGGGGGGGTGAAGGGGGGAGACATAAGAATACGATATGTAGCAATTATGCAATCAGTGGATGCATTGGATACGTTGCATTAGGGCCTCCGCTCCGCTGCCCGACCTGCCTCCAGGCAGGTTGGGGTTATCGGCCTTTCATTGCTACTTTGGGCGATGTTGGTGGCGTTTCAGAAATTGTATAGCCTGGCGTCAAAAGATATCACGTCACCTGCCGCTATCATCAGGGACGTCGTCGTCATCGTGTCCAGTGGCGGGAAGAGGCCCGCCTACGTCCCCGTCGCATGTGTCATCCGCTCGGTGAAAATTGTGGAGGCAGTTTGGGCCGCCATG